CAACAAAAATATCACACACTCACTCAGTCGTCAAAATGCGATCACCAATTCACCATACTTACACCATTAATCAGAATTTATCTCGTAATTTCAACTCATCAATTCTTCAGTTTTCATAAGCTGAAACTACGACGCTCCATTCCATGCTTCCGCAATCGAAGAGTTCTAGAATAATATCACTCTTGTTTTCTTAATGTCGGTAAACTGAACTGGAACGTTTGGACAGCGAGCTTCCTAGAGGGCTGCACTTAGTAAATACTGCTAGTTTAGTTATGATGTTGAAATGGTTATTAAATTATGTTCATTGCTGTATAAAAAATCGTTCTTATCACTGCATAGTAAGCCCGACAAAAAGGAAGATAGGAAGAAGGAAGATTTTCAAAAATCATGTTATTTTAGTCTTAGTCATACGTGGTGTCAATAGCCATTTTAAACAGCCGGTTACGCTCTGCTTATCCCGCAAGGAATATAGGCGTGATTATGTATGTATGTACATATTTATGTAGCCTTAACCAAGATGTGGGTCATCCAACCTCAACGCGAGTAAGAAAAACTTTATCCACACACTTGGTGAAGAGGATCTAATATGCAGTTTTTCACATCTTAAACTACTTTCTAACCCGCAGTGTATTCAAAATTAATGTTCAGAAACTACAGTAAATCTCGGAAAACTTACATAATAAGACCCTAGGGCTAGATTTCATTTCACCACGAATCGTTATTAAAATTCTCCTAGCTTGCGAAAAGTTTTTGCGTTAAAAGGATTGGATATAAAAGCTCTACATTGTTTTTGTTAGGCTCTTTGGAGGGGAACTATTTTTATATAAATTGTGAAAACCGATGAAGGGTGAAAGTTTGATTTGAGAAATAGTATTTTTCGTCATCCTAATGCAAGCAGTACACCCAAAATGAAATATTTTTACATTAAATTTTGCCATTTAGTAAAACGTTTCCCGAATCATTTTCGCATTCATAGTTAGTCATACCTATCTATCTATTATGTATTTTTTTTTTACTTATAAAATAATTACGGATTTTTAAAAATATTGCTTTATCGTGTGTTGCCGGCTAAAAATAGCTTAAGGTATAGCTATATTATTCCCGAAGGTGCCGTAAGAAGCAACTAAAAGATTTGTTAGTTTATATGCGTATTGCACTGACAACTTGTCACTATGGTAATACATAGTCTTTTGAATGACTCTCAAACTTTTGTCATTGTAAATGGCCATTTTTACAGCCGTTTATGCTCTGCCTACCTTAAGATGTGATATAATTATGTAAGTATGTTACTTTTAAGTAGATAGCCAGCCGAGAATACCAACAAAAGCAGTTACATAGAGAAACATGCTTAATGATAACGTCATGGTTAGGTTGTAGTTCATATGCCACTAATGGAGGTAGTTATGTCGTGATTACGTCACAATTTGCGTCTAGTCTCAAATGAGAGGCCATGCTAAATTAATTAACACAGGTATACACGTGGCGAGCCAAACAATCATATAATTGAATACATTAACATCAGCTTAATTTACATTACAATTGGGTTGTAATTGCTACGCGCAGGTGTTATGTGACTGTTACCTATAAATTGGTGTGGAAAGGGAATTAAGTAACAAATTATATTTATTTATACAATTCTTTTGTTAAATTCTCGAAATGACAAATCAGGTATAGACCTGGAAAAGCCATTTGGTACTTAGTCTAGTAACTAACGTCACAGCTATTCGGATTGACCCATGAAGCTGAAAATCGGCATGTAGATACTTCTTGACCACCTGATCAAAATTAGACATGGAGCCCAGCGGGTTCCACCCCCCCTTAACCTTTACCATCCCCCTCCTTTACAAGGTGTAACTCTTGAAGTAATTGACTTGGAGGGTAGTTTTTATTTCGTATCGTGCGTAAAATCTCACTTAAAGCTTATTGTGCCTTCAAAATTACCCTTTACCCACGGGGCCCAAAATCCCGAAAAGTGGGGCCCGCTGGGCTCCATGTCTAATTTTGATCAGGAGGTCATGAAGTACCTACATGCCGATTTTCAGCTTCATGGGTCAATCCGAATAGTTATAACCAGCTATTGACGTTAGTTACTAGACTAACTGGCTGAAACCGCAACCGGAAAGCTAATAGGCGAATCGTATACATTATCGCATAAAATTGCGACTGTCAGAAGCCTCTGTCAGAAGTAATTTTATCCGATGCAGTGACATGTACTATCTTGCTTTCAGGGATTTTCTTAATTCCTTTCTAAATTCCCTACTAAATAAATTAACTATATTTTCCGACTGCGTTCAAATATAACTAGTTCTACGGTCTAAATAAAATTGTCATTTCACATTGCTGACCTTAAGGCCCAAGCTCCACGGTGTTAGACCTGAGACGTAGGTAAGATATGCGACTCAACGGCGCTTGAAACCGTCTCCATACAAAATGTATGAAATAGATGAGACAAAGCTACACACATGAGATAAGCTAAGCGCTTTGCATCGATGACGGCTGACGTTCACATGTCAGGCAGATATCATCTTACGTCTCATGCCTCACGTCTACTTTATATGATTTGCGCCTTACAAAAACACCAGCTCATAACACGACCTACTTCCATCCGCGAGGCCGTCACGTAAAAATTTCTTCATAACCTGAAACTTGCAAAACTCCCCAACAATGTAGATTATAATAACATGAACAGGGCCCGGAGAGGTCACGTTTAACTTTTATTAGTTCGCGACATGACCGCACACCAATTTTTTTTCTTGTTTTAAGTGTTCTTTGTAAGTTGATTACCTATTCTTTTGTTTTATAGGCATCTAGTTTATATATATAAGTCTATGATAGGCATTGAAATTTCCATTGACAAAGGCTGACGAAGGCCTTTGAACCTACTGTTAGGAGGACGACGCATGGTAAGGTCTCAAAATATTTTAGGGAATCGCAATGAATTGTATATTTTAACTAATTTTTTTTATGTGTTTAATGAAACGATTAGTTTGAAATAAATGTTTTAGTTTATATTAAGTACTTCATTGTCAGCGCAGACTTTCCATGTAACCGCAACCTTGTACAGTTTCAAAACGTAGGACTGAATACCAAATTTTAAAACCCTTCTCTCTCATGTTAGGTAAACAATTTTTGGGACAAGATATACTTGCTTAATTCGCAGGCTCGATTAGAACTGCGGAAGCCCAGTTGGTTAGGGCGTCGGCAGTACTGATGCCGAAGGTCGCAGGTTCAAATCCTGCCTGTGCTGCGTTGGAAAATTTTGCAAGTTTCCCAAAAATGTAGGACTCATAGGTAGCATAACAAACCATAGGTAGCACCAAATCTTAATTAAACCTAGTCAAACTTTTCAGATAATTATTTTCAACACAAACAAGCTCGTCTGAAAACTCATTCATTACCAATGAGGTGTTTTTCAAAAGTGTAAAAAAGCTGCAACGACGAACTACTTCCTTACTCGGGCGTCTTTTGTAAACACCGTTAATGGAAAATTTTAATTCCATTGCGGGTAGTTGTTTGTTATACGGATCGATCGAGTATTGGTAGCCATGATGAATTTCTTTACTTAATTTGAGAGAGAAAATATATTGAGCAATTTCGTGTTAAATAAACGTAAACGAGATTGTGTTTTTTTAATGTTTGTTGCTTAAAATATATTGGTTCCGTGTCGTGTGGTGCCCTGGTTTAGAATAGCATCACCCCATATCATACCCTTGGGTGTCTTAAGAAGCTGCTACGGGATTTGAGAGTTGATGTGTACTGATATTTTTGGCGATAGACTGACACTATGGTGATTCGCAGTCTTCTGAATAACTCTTAAACTTTTGTCAACTATTCTACCCGCCTGCCAAACTTACCTCGCCATTTTTTAATTTTACTTTTATTTATCCCCTCGAAAATCTAATATCATTACGCTCGTCGTCGACCACCTTTGTCACTTAAATCGTGCTTAAATCCAGTTTTGCAACCCTTTTACAAGCAAGAACCAAGACGAGCTTTAACGCGGTTTTTACACAAGACGCACTATTTTGCGTTTTTTTGGCGGACTAGTATTACCGACGCACGCGATATTTTGCTGGACGAGTATTACCAACTACAGGATTTGTATCAAATCGCATGTAAATCGCGAAGAACCGCACTGCAATGTCACTGGCTGCCAACGTGTAGCAGGTGTTAAAAAGGCTGTCGAATATCGCAAATTTAAGAAGAAACCCTTTTAGAACCAAGAACAAGATGAGTTATAATTCATCCACTAATGAAGACGTATAGGTATCGGGCGATTCGCCTCGCATAGCCCAGCACTGCAGTGTGCCTTCTGTCGTAGCTGTTAAAAACAGAAAAATGATGTAGCACGTGTACCAAAAATCTGTTTTTGAACCCTTTTAGAACCAAGAACCAAGACTAGCTTTAATTTATCCACTAATGAAGACGTCTAGGCATCGGGCGAGGCGAAGACAACGCGACGCGACGCAATTTCCGGTTTTTAGTTTCAAAGAGCCCGGCAGGGCGCCCGACTTCCGGTACCTTGTTGGTGATGTGCTACTTTTGGTTTCCGATTCTTTGATATGTGCTTAGAAATTTAATTTAAGCAGCATTTCCAGGGATATTTTATTTATATTAATTAAAAAATATATCAGTTTGACACACATACTACGCTGTTTTTTTTATTCAAATCCAACTCAAGTGATTTTTTCTTTATTACTGTATAGGTATCTATAGATTCACAAATTAGTCAAAAAAATTAAAGTTTTAGGTACACAAGCCTAATTTCCCAGAATAAACTTAGGTACCATGCTCCTAAAATGTAACAAAGAAAAAGAGGAAACTTAAAATAAGTAGAAGTAACTTAAACTTAAAATAAGTTAAGTTGCACTTACCAAGGCCTGAAAGAGTTGAACTTTGGCAGTCTCAGCTTTCCTGGTCATGTTGGAAAATATCGAATGATGATGCTGTTACTATCAAGGCGAGATAATAAATTAAAATAAGAAATTGAGAAAATGTCATGCATCGACTGGAATTCGAATCCGGGCCGCATTGGTCAACGCTCCACCGCTCTGCCACTGAGCTGTCGATGCACTGGTCAATGCATTCCAAATTTTTCAATAACTTGGATTCTCGCCTCCAAGCGACGACCTGGCGACATCTGTAGACCCTTGTGGCCCGTGTCCGCGACCCAGTCAATGCATAATTTTTTTTTCAACTTCTTATTTTAATGTATGAGAATAATATAGCACTGTATGTGAGTGCATTAAAATTACAATAAATACGAATTTCGATCTTATTCTAATACAAATTAAGTTTATGTCAAATGATTGGCATAAACTTTACGTGTGGGTCTCGCCTTAGAGTTCGTATTCAAATTTCCACGTATCGAGAACAGAGAGTAGCGCCCCGGGAGCCACTTTGACAAACACGGATGAGCCCGGGATTGTTCCGCTGTTTACACCCGGATCGCTCTCTGCCTACTATTTCAGGCAACATGTAGTAATTGTACGGAGTGAAATTAGACTGATCTGTCAACATGACAGTAGCAAACGCGAAGAACATAATTTCAACGAAATCAATCGCTTATAAAGCACAATTTGAAACTGAACAAAATTTTATCCAAATTAAGTATTTTCAGTAAAATTTTCTTGATGACAACTAACGCGACTTATTACTAGTCGTTGGTATCCGAATTACTACTCACACCTAGTCGTTGGTATCCAAATTTCCACGTATCGAGAACACAGAGTAGTGCCCCGGGAGCCACTTTGACAAACACGGATGAGCCCGGGATTGGTTCCGCTGTTTACACCCGGATTGCTCTCTGCCTACTATTTCAGGCAACATTTAGTAATTGTACTGAGTGAAATTAGACCTGATTTGTCAACACAGTAGCAAACGCAAAGATTAAAATTTCAACGAAAACAATATTTTTGAAAATGAACACTATTTAATCCTAATCAAGTATTTTTAGTCAAAGCTTGATGACGTTAATACAACAACCTAATCAACATTTATTAATAGTAGTTCGTACCCAAATTACTAGTCACACCTATTACTAGTTGTTGAGAACACAGAGTAGCACCCCGGGAGCCACTTTGACAAACACGGATGAGCCCGGGATTGGTTCCGCTGTTTACACCCGGATTGCTCTCTGCCTACTATTTCAGGCAACATGTAGTAATTGTACGGAGTGAAATTAGACCTGATCTGTCAACACAGTAGCGAACGCGAAGAACAAAATTTCCACAAAAACAATTGCTTATAGCACAGTTTGAAACTGAACAAAATTTAATACAAATCAATTATTTTTTGTCAAATTTGCTTGATGACTAACGTAAATCAACATACTACTAGTCGATTTTATCCAAATTACTAGTCACACCTATTACTAGTATTCGTATCTAAATTACTAGTCACACATAATTACTAGTCGTTCATATCTAAATTACTAGTCACACCTATTACTAGTCGTTCGTATCCAAATTTCCACGTATCGAGAACACAGAGTAGTGCCCCGGGAGCCACTTTGACAAACACGGATGAGCCCGGGATTGGTTAGACCTACCATTTTAGGCAACATGTAGGTAGTAATTGTACAGAGTAGGTAAATTATTTGTCTACACCGTTGCGAACGCAAAGAACGAAATTTCAACGAACAATCACTTATAAAAAACTGAATAACAGTATTTTCAGATAAATTTTCTTGATAAAAACTAACGTCAATCAACATTTTATTAGTACCTAGTTTTTATTTAACGTATCGAGAACACAGAGTAGTGCCCCGGGAGCCACTTTGACAAACACGGATGAGCCCGGGATTGGTTCCGCTGTTTACACCCGGATTGCTCTCTGCCTACTATTTCAGGCAACATGTAGTAATTGTACGGAGTGAAATTAGAAGACTTACGTATATCCAGGGTTTTGAAATATTTTGTATACTCAGGTACAGTATAAACATAGATAGATTGATTGAGGATTGTCGCTTTGCAAACGAAGGCTATATCGCACCAACGGAAGTTACGTGTGTACAGTGCCTAACTTTGTGCTGTAGTAGTAACTGATCAAAAGTCTGCGGGCAAAATATTACGATAATTCATTGACACTCTAAAAGGTACAGTCGCATCGTGAACGAGTAACAATCCCTACATCTGCCATTTTGCATACCTAGCTACAAATCAAAAATCGCAGAATTTTCCGCAACCCCAAACACGAAAGCCTTTTAATCCCACAGAACCCCAGAAAAATTGGCAATAATAATGCCAATATCTCTTTGTTTCCTATTCCAATGCAAAAGGAATCGATGTCCTGGGGCTATTGTCAAGATTATAGGCTAGGACCCCGGTTCCCGTTTTTAATAAATGAACCGCCGCGGGCGACGGGTTACACGATATTCCAGTGTTTGTTGGTGACTGTGATAGAAAATTGATATCCTTGTTTTTAGGATCGGTCCATGTACTTAGATAGTGCTGTCGGTATAAAAGTCTCTGGAAAAGAAGCTGAAAATAAAAGTTCAGTACCTACATCAGCAGTACTTTATGAGGAACCATCATAATAATGTTACAATACAAATACAAATCATTTATTTTCCATAAATTTATTTACAATAATAAGAACAAACACATAACATTATCATTACTAACAAAACATGGAATTAAAATTAACAATGGTTACTGTGATGGAAAAAAGGAGTGGCCACAGCGCAATGCTGGTTTTAAGCCCACCCACTGTCTATGTTAATACTTAAATACTAAAGACGGGTTGGCATTATTGTTATAAACTTACTAATTTTACTTTTAATTTGTGAATAATAAATGTTGTACATCACCAGCACATCAACCTACCGCTTTTCATACAAATACTTAGAAAAACCATTACAAGTTGATCCCTAACGTGGGAAGGTTGATTAAATTGGTAGGCGTTTTAAACTTTTATTGAAACACAAAAAAAAAACACAACAAAATAATATAAATAATCACAAAGAAACTGGTTACAAAATAATAAGAAACAGTTGGGTGAAGCCAATTTTTATCGCTCCAGCGAGTCAGGTGTTGCGCTTGGAGAGATACTGAAGCAAAGTAACTAAGGGATTCAAATCCGGGAACACTCAACTTACTTTTCTATGAAATGGAAACGAACACGAACAGTTTGAACTTGTTATCCTAATAATTGAATACGAAAGTAATAATGAAAACACAGTTTCGTGGAATTTAGTACAACAGAGAAGACTTGATAATAATAAAATCAATAATTATAAAGTATTTGCAATCACAAAACCGTTGGCTAAGTCTCAAGAAATTTTAAAATCGTGCCTTACTTTAGACACAAAAATTGATAATCATGTGATAATTTGTGTCGGTGAAAATGATTGTAATCCAACTCAATTATCCATAGAACTCGGCGCTACCCTTAAACATTTGGAAAAATCAAAAACACAAGTCACGGTTTTAAGTGTAAATAAAAATATGTTTTTAAATGAATGTAAACTAAATATTTTATTAGAGACCATTTGCAAAAACGCGACTAATTGTAAATTTATAAAGTGTTCTGACATTTTTATGAATCATTATAGTTATATTTCGTTTATGTCTAAAAAGATAAATCTCTTTATTGACTGTCTCGACTACGACAAAAAATACCTGTCATTTAAATTTAGAAAATCTCCAAAACAGGATGGCATTAATAATTGTTTTTCACAGCCAGTATGTTCTAAACAAAGTCTAACGAAAAGTGCAATCACTGAAACTCTACCGAAAAAAGGCACGATCCCATACTATTTTGTTAAGATCAATAAAAGTACGAAGGGAGAAAATGATGAATCAGAGTTTTTTCGTTCCGCAACAAAATAGAATGGGTTCAAGTCTACAACAACCTAGCTCATATAATATTGTCAGACTATTTCACCAAAATATACAAGGATTACTTTCGAAGCTACATTTGATAGAATTGTGCATTGATGACTTTACTGCAAAAAATAAAACTCTTGACGTATTGTGTTTTACTGAGAGTTTTATCAAGCAAGGTAGTGAAAAAAACATATTCTTAAAGGATTTTGCTGTGGCTTCATATTATAGTAGAGTAAAAAATAAACGTCGTGGTGTATGCATACTTTTACGAAAAGGTATTGATTTCAGGCCGCTTCCTATTTGTAGAGAGTTTGCTGATGATAGAGTTTTTGAATGTTGTGGTGTAGAAATTCCTTGTTTTAAATGCATAGTTCTATGTATTTACAGAATACCGGACAAGAATTTAGTAAATACATTCTTCAATCGATTAGAAGCAATTCTTTATAAGCTTACTTCTAACAGTAAAAAGAAAATCATTGTAGTTGGGGATTGGAACGTACACACGGAAACAGAAACCAAGGCTAAGCAAACCCTAATAACAATTTTGCATAACTTCAATTTAGAACTACATATTAATTCTCCAACTCGTGAAATGGCGTGTATTGACCATATCGCAAGCAACATTCCTGACGCTAGTGGCAGTGTCCATGATCTTCAACTTTCAGATCACAATACATGTCAAATCTTAGAATTCAATACAGAAACTGCAGTCATAAGACCTCAATACTGGTATATAAATAAAAGAAATTTTAGCAAAGAGAATGTTAACATTTTTATCAAAAGTTTAAAGGCTCTATCGTGGTCTGAAGTTTATAATGAAGAGGATCTGAATAGTGCTTTTAACTCATTTCATGACATGTTTCTCTTGCTCTACAATTTATGTTTTCCTGAAACCCGAATTAAAATCAATGCAAACATGACCAGACCCAAGTGGATAACTAAAGGTATCAAAATTTCTAGTAACGTGAAAAGAATGCTAAGGTTTAATTATTACCAGCACAAAACGTCATCCAACAAGAAGAGATATAAAAAATATAATGCATTACTGAGGACATGTGTTATTCACTCAAAAAGGCAAATTAACAATAAAATCATATCTAACTCCAAAAATAAATGTAGGGCTACATGGAACGTTATACAGAACAAACAGGATGCCACTAAAATTCTCTCTGAAATTGAATCAGTTAAAATCAATAACGTCACTTTAAATAATCGTGTAGAAATTGCGGAAGCTTTTAATTCAT